AAGTTACATCACGAGAGTATGGTAAGTTAGAGACCCTTCCAAATGATCAGATGGGAATGCCAGGTAGGTGGATCAGAGCAAAGCGGGGGAAATCTCTGCTGTGGTTGCAGCTGCTGTCTGATGATATTCTTTTAGGATGATGGTCTGTTAAGTCATTCTGAAGTGTTTCATGTGATAATCACACGGATTCTCAGTCAGACACAGGGATGGGCAGTGAATGGCTATTAATACGGGTAAAGATAGCCAAGATAATGTAGCTCCAGATCGGCAACATTCCAACTCTCCACCATTATTAAATTCTTCAGCCCAATGTTCTTCCAACCGAGCTGCTTTGGCAACTCACACAATTATGAAATTCTAGTCAGTCGACCAATCCCACAGGACCTTTAACATAGGCATCGTCCATTTTTAAGAGTTTCCATTCACACAAGGGTGAGTCGCACACAGCCTATGGGTGGTGCAGGTTGGGGTCCGGCAGGTGGGAAGACTCCCCAAAGAGGTGAGAGCCAAAGTCATGGCTCAGGTGCTAGGACCGTGTAGTAGACCCGTGTAGCAGACACAGTGGTCTGTGCTGGGCCTATTCCCCATCTAACACATATGGAGTCCTTTCTTGCTTTTGGCAGGGGCTTCTTGTGAGTGGGGCGCTCCCAGTGGGCAGAGACTTGTTTTAGGGGTCTTCGAGTTTAACCCTGTGCCTGGGCTTTGAACCAGTGGCTCTCAGCAGATCTGTAGGCCTGTTCTGCTTATGCCCGTGACAGGACAGACCTCACCAAATTCTCCATACTGTGCCTGTAGTTGCCACTCAACAGAGGCTGTGGGAGGAATAAATGAGCCAATGAAAGTCTCAGGAATGTGCACACACACACGAAATCACGAGTGGAAACAGATGTGCAGGGGGGCCCTGTGAAGTGACCCTTCTGAAGCATGGGCTGACCAGCGTTCCTTTGCCCCTGAGCTGTAAAGTTTTATTATTGCCACTCAGGAGTGTCTGTACCCTATGACTGCTCTGTTGGCCCGCCATGGGGGGTGGGGCGCACTCATCTCTTCGCCAACGAGAGAAGCTTTTCCTGTCGCCGTTCCTATGCTGTCAGCTGACTTATAAATAGAAGTCGGCTCAGCCTGTCATTCCAAGCCTTCAGCGCACACGCTCCCTGATGGGCGTGTCAGGGGTCACTGAAGATGTTTCAGAGCTGAGACTCCACTTAGGTCCTGGCCAGGGCTCTGGGGTGGGGGAGGTTCTAAATTTGGGACAGGATTGTTCTCTGTGTGGCCTCTCTGGAGCACAACTCTGTGTCCTGAATGCCAGGTTTCTCATCTCTGCGGTCTGGGCATCACGAACCATCCCTCATGCTTTCTGTTGCTTCCTGCATGGTATGGAGGGCAGGGGGGCAGGGAGGGAGTTCCCTGATGGAATCCATCAGGATGTGCCTACAGTTTAGTGCCAGACTCAAATGGCAGTGCCCTGAATCCATGCTGTAGGAATCCAGGTCCACCATTACTCATGTGCTTTTACATCAAAGGAGACACAGGTAGAATTTTCTAGAGAGACCCCTGCTGAACCTCTGGAGCTTCCTCACTCTCTCCCAAGCGCAAGGACGGCTTTCAGTCTGGCAGATCACTGGGGACTCCCCCATGTCTGCCAGAGCATGCCAGGCCTTCCGGATTTCATGTATCTGGAGAGCTTTGTGGGTCAGTACTCAGCAGAATTGTCACAAAACATGTCAAGTTCACTGTCAACGTTGTCACCTCTGCATGAGAAGCACAGCAGATGGCCCAGTGGGTAAGGGTGACTGCTGCCAAGGCGGATGACCCAGATGGTGGAAGGAGCCCCCGTAGGTTGTCCTCTGACCTCCGCGTGTGTCCTGAGGCACAAGCTAACCCTAGTTGTCCTTGGAAGGAGTGACCAAGTAGTTGGAGCCTGGGTAGAATGAAATGCTACCATATATTCTCTTGGTAATATTTGAATTTTATAAATACTAAGCAGAGAAGAAAAAGGATTAGGATCAGGAGAAATAAATCCCAAGGCTCCAGATACAAGACATTCCCTGGACCAGAGGAGTCCCATGGACTTCTGGAATTCCGCCTCATCCATTGCTTCCGGCTTACGTGTTGTGAGTTCATCTTGGGAGTCAGTGATCCAGTGGTAGATTTCTGTGTCTGGTGTTGAGGACATTGTTTATTTTATCTCACCAATGTCTCCCAGAGATGCACTCTTATCTTTCATAATCACAAAAATAGTTGGTTTGCATTGGTTTACGCCAATGCTTACATAGACTCTCTTGAACTTCGAATTATGTAAATGCGTATGTCGCGTCTATAACAGTGACACTTTTCTGGCTTAAGCCTCACTGGATCATCAATTTTAACTGGGTCTGGGTTCCTCCCCACCTCTCTGACATGGGAGGGCACTGTCTTCGCAGGTATCTGGACATCAGAGAGGACAAAGAGGTGCCTACTACCTAACCTTACATTAGGAGTAAGAGAGCCAAGGCTGTTTGAAATCCATAGCAGTCAGAAACCATATGCAGACAGCAGAGGCTGACTTGCAGGATGCTGGCTGAGCAATTGCCAGGTGACCTCTGGCTCTGTCCTCAGGTCCTGCACAGGTAGATTCTGGACCCTCAGATGGATTTTCCTAGTAATCTCTGCAGGATCTTACCTGTGGGCGAGCATGTAGCATGAACAAACCTAGAGATGGATATTGGGGTTCAAGCTGAAGATCAGAAAGGCAAAGCAGTCAACCACTAGAGAGACCTTTTACTTCTACCAAATCTTCAGATCGAAAAGGCAAGAACGTGTCTCCACGACTCCTCAGACTCCACGCTCCACTGAGTTCCTGTCTCTTCTCTATAGTCCTCTCTCTGCCCAGGCATACCACTCCTGTCTTCACCTCCTTAGTGCTGGGATTAAAGGTGCGGGATCCCAAGATCCCACCTTTGTGTGAGCTCTGTTTCTCTTTTAGACAGATCAATCTCGCGTAGCCCAAGGTGGCCTTGAACTCACTGAGATCTGTCTGCCTCTATCTCCCGAGTCCTGGGATTAAAGGTGTGTGCCACAACTCCTTGGCCTGTATGGTTGACTAGTATGGCTGCTTTGCCCTCAGATCTTCAGGCAAGTGTTATTTATTAAAACACAAATAATGTACCACTACATGAGCATCTATGTGAGGTAACCTGCTTGTGCAGATGGGAATGTCATTCTTTCCAACATGGCTGTCTTGTCTCCTCCTAATGCTTTTGACTTAAGTAGGAGTCAAGGGACTGCAACAAATACCATGGTCAGGCGTGGCTGTGGCTTTGGGTTTTGTTTTTTTGTTTAATGCATTTTTTTATTATTTTAATTTGTATTTAGGATTCTTTGTGTATGTGTCTGTGTGCACATGCACACACAACCGGATCTCCTGAAGATGGAGTTAAAGCAGTTGTGAACCACTCTATGTGGATGCTGGAACTGAACTTGGGTCCTCTGGAAGAGCAGTATGTACTCTTATACACTGAGCCATCTCTCCAGCCCTGGCTTAACACACACACACACACACACACACACACACACACACACACGGAATTGATATAGATGCTTCATTTATGGCTGAGCACTCAATAGTCAATTACTCTTAGCCCTTTGACCAGATGACTGCATTAATGGCTACCTACTGCAGTCTTCCCAGAACACACTCTGTCGACCAGGCTGGCCGTGAATTCAGAGATCCGCCTGCCTCTGCCTCCCAAGTGCTGGGATTAAAGGTGTGCACCACCACCGCCCGGCATTTTTTTTTCTTTCCCAATCTATGTGTATGTATGAGCACTGTGTGCATGTCTGGTGCCTGTGGAGGCCAAAAGAAGGTGATGGATCTCCTTGGAACTGGAGTTACTTGTAAGCCACATGGGGATGCTGGGAACCAAACCTGGGTCCTCTTAAGAGCAGTCAATGCTCTTAACCACTGAGTCATCTTTCTAGCCCCCATATTCTAGTTTGCTGCGGCGGTGGTTTGAATAAGAAATGGCCCCCATAGGTCATGTATTTGAACATTTGGTTCACAGCTGATGATAGCGGGGGGGGGGGTACGGAACTTTCAGGGTGTAGACCCTTGCTGGAGGAAGTGTGTCACTAAGGGCAGGCTTTGGGAGACTGTGGCCTTATCCATTTCCATGCTAAGCGGCTAACTCGGTGTCCATCACCTCATTCAGAAGAGTATCATTCTCTCCTGTTCTAATCTAAAAGAAGTCAAATCTAAGAGGCAGCCTGGAGGTCCGGCTCAATGACACAGGAGCAGGCACACCCGGGACTCAAAGCAGGGTGGAGTTGCTTCTGTCATGTTCCATCATAGCTGTTTAGAGTGCTCCCAAAGTGGGCTGGAGAGATGGCTCAGTGGTTAAGAGCACTGGCTTCTCTCTCAGAGGACCCAGGTTCAATTCCCAGCACCCACATGGCAGCTCACAATTGTCTGTAACTCCAGTTCCAGAGGGTCTGATACCCTCATATAGACACACATGCAGTCAAAACACCAGTGTACATAAAATATCATTTTAAAAAATTAAAAAAATGCTCCCAAGGGTGCTCCCCACTCATTCTCTTCCCATTTCCAGAGGCCGCTTGTCAGCCGCTCTGGATAGGGACACTCAGGATGGGCACCTTTCACAAAGGGCCAGGGTGAGGAGCAGAGGCGGGGGACAAGTTGTGTGGTGGCATTTGCAGTGGATATAGGTCAGCATCTTCCAGGCCACAGGAACCAATATTGATCCACCTCAGCACCCAGCCTTGCAGATCCAGGTTCCCTGACCCTAATCTGTTATCCTCTGAAGAACACAATCAGCTTTGGGATCATGAAAGGTTTAAGTGGGGGTGGAGAGAGCCCTAATCCTGGACCTCATCTTTGGGAGGCTTAGGGTCATTCAGAGTCCCACTGTGTCTTTAAAGGAGGGAGCTGTGGGGAGGGGCAAAGCAGAAAAACAATCTATAAGAAGGACTGGAGGTGGTGGCGAGGGCATCCCAAGCACAAGATGTCAGGAGAGGACGATTTCTACCTGTTCCGCAATATCTCCTCCGTGGGGCCCTGGGACGGGCCTCAGTACCACATAGCTCCTGTCTGGGCTTTCCACCTCCAGGCAGCCTTTATGGGGTTTGTCTTCTTCGCAGGGACCCCACTAAATGCCATAGTGCTGGTGGCCACACTGCGTTACAAAAAGCTGCGGCAGCCCCTCAACTACATCTTGGTCAATGTATCCCTCGGGGGCTTCCTCTTCTGCAGCTTCTCTGTCTTCACTGTCTTTATCGCCAGCTGTCACGGCTACTTCATCTTTGGCCCCCACGTTTGTGCTCTGGAGGCCTTCCTGGGCTCTGCAGCAGGTACAGCACCATAGGCAACCGGGGCTAGGGAGCGGCAAAGGATGTTACTCCAGGATTGGAACCTGGAGCCGGGCTTCTGGTTTGGAGCAGGCTCTTAATCACCCTGAGTACTTGACCGAACTAGGATGCGTGAGCATTAACCGCTATTCCGCTTCTCTGGACTCAGTTACATTTGTATTCCACTCCAGGCTGGGTGAGGCTGTCTATTCTGTTTGTTTCACGTTTGCCACAGGTCTAGTGACAGGATGGTCCTTGGCTTTCCTGGCTTTCGAGCGCTACATTGTCATCTGTAAGCCCTTTGGCAACTTCCGCTTCAGCTCCAAGCATGCACTGATGGTGGTCCTGGTTACTTGGATCATTGGTATCGGAGTGTCCATCCCACCCTTCTTTGGTTGGAGCAGGTGAGAGGGCAGGGTAGCGGTTTGATGTGGGAAGAGAGATTGGGTATATATAGCCTTTTATTCTTTGATCTGAGTTTGGAGAGAAAGGAAAAAGGGCAGCTGGAGACATCCGTGTTTACTTTGCAGTTGGAATTACTGCAGTCTTTTTGGTATCCTTCCAACTGGAGAAGCTAATCCAGGAATGCCAGCTCCCACCCTGCTAGCTCTCAGGGAGAGCCGAGTGAACTCTTGATCCTTTTCAGGTACATCCCTGAGGGCCTGCAGTGCTCCTGTGGCCCGGACTGGTACACAGTTGGCACCAAGTATCGAAGCGAGTACTACACGTGGTTCCTCTTCCTGTTCTGTTTCATCGTGCCTCTTTCCCTCATCTGCTTCTCCTATTCGCAGTTGCTGAGGACTCTCAGAGCTGTGAGTGGCCTTTGAGAGGGTCAGATAGGAGTGAATCAGGATGCTCCAGGACCAAGAGCATGTGTATCTGCCCCAGGACACACGTCTGGAATACCCGTGGTCAGACGGGAGCTAGCAAGAGTGGGGAAGGGGGAATGAAAAATCGTGGAATCACAACTCAGCGGTAGGTAGAGCACTTCGGTAGCAGGTGGGAGGAATGCTCTATCCCAGCACGAGACAGTGGGGGAAGGGAACAAAAACCTGGGAGAGGAGGAGGAAACCGAGTGAGACTGTCATCTCTCCTAACGCCAAAGAGCTGAGATCCACCTCCATGATGCCTCCCTCCAGGGAAAGCCAAACTCAGCTAGAAGAGCTGGCGAGAGATTTTCACTACACAGCAGGGTTCAGAGATCTGGAGTTGAGGGCAGAAGAGAGGCTATGTATGACCTGTGCTCAATTTCCAGGTGGCAGCTCAGCAGCATGAATCAGCTACGACCCAGAAGGCTGAACGGGAGGTGAGCCACATGGTGGTGGTGATGGTGGGATCCTTCTGTCTCTGCTACGTGCCCTATGCTGCCCTGGCCATGTACATAGTCAACAACCGTAACCACGGGATAGACTTACGCTTCGTCACCATCCCTGCCTTCTTCTCCAAGAGCTCATGTGTCTACAATCCCATCATTTACGGCTTCATGAATAAGCAGGTAAAGCTGTCTACCTACATTCCCATGAGGACCTGGTCCATTAGACCCTGGTTCTTTGCTTATTGACGTTTTAACTCGGCACCCTGGATGCCACATAGGCCTCATAGATGAGGAAAGGTCCAGAGTCCAAGCGAGCCAGGAAACTCTTGGTTGGCATATCTATGGAGGATGTGGTTTCTAAAACACTAGAAGAAAGGTTAGACCTTGAGTCAGAAAGACCAAGTTGTTCTAAAGGGGGGATGGACTGGGAACCTTCTTAGCCATGCTGGAGATTGAACACAGGGCCTTTCGCATGCCAGGCAAATATTCTTAGTAGTGAGTTATACATCCCTACCCTTAAGTTTTCTGTTTTGGTGAAAATGTAGTAACATCAATAGTAACAGATGTCTAACTTTTTGCAGTTTTTTTCCCCTTTTTAAGATAGGGTCAAACCATGTAGCCTCAACTGTCCCAGACTTCTATGGAAACTAGTCTGGCCTTAAACTCAGTGATCTGCCTGCCTCTGTCCCCAAGTGCTGGAGTTAAAGGCATGCACCGCCATCTACGTCCAGTCCTCTGCAAACTCTTAATCCAGCCCTTATAAAGTCTAGCTTGCAAGATCAAGTAAACCCTACCCTGCCTCGAAAAACCAAATAAATAAATAAAAAAGCGGAGTTTAAGTAGTTTGTAGGGCAAGGATGACACACACCTTTCCTTCCAGTTCCGGGCTTGCATCCTGGAGATGGTGTGCAGGAAGCCCATGAGTGACGAAAGCGAGATGCCTGGCTCTCAGAAAACAGAAGTTTCTACTGCCTCTTCTAGCAAAGTCGGCCCTCACTAAGGACCTTAACTGGCCTGCTGGCAGCAAGCAGAACGCCACATTTAGTTTCTACACTCTCCATTAAAACCCTAGCACAGGGAAGAGATAGATGGGAAGGGGAGCAATGGCGTTCCTGTTATTCTCTTCCTGTCAGCGAGGCTGCTCCTCCCACACGGACCATTTCAACAGTCAGTTTCTACTCCTAAGTGGTACCTTCACCCCCTAAGTGGAGACCTGTAAGAGAAAGGGCACACTTTCCTTCTCTGTCACTTTTCATCCCCCTTGCTGGGTCTGGGATGACACCCCGTTGATGTGGGAGTGATTTTTTATTAATAAAGAAACTGCCTAGACCCATTTGATAGGCCAACCCTTAGGTAGGCGGAGTAAACAGAACGAAATGCTGGGAGAAAGAAGCTGAGTCGGGGAGTCGCCATGGTTCACTCACTCCAAACAGACGCAGGTTAAGATCTTTCCTGGTAAGCCAGCTCGTGGGCTACACAGATTAATAGAAATGGGTTAGATCAATATGTAAGAGCTAGCTAATAAGAAACTGAAACTAATGGGTCAGGCAGTGTTTAAAAGAATACAGTTTCTGTATAATTATTTCGGGTAAAGCTAGCCATGCGGGCAGCCGCATGCCAGGGACGCAGCCCTGCCGCTCGTAACACAACACCTAACACAACACCCCGTTAGATGAGATGAGCGATAGGGGCAGGTGCCTACAGCGAATTTAAAAGACCGAGGTTGTGGCAGCCATGGCCAGAGCCGCCTCAGCTCACCCGTCTCAAACAGAAGTTTTCTAGGTGTTCTCTCCACTTGGCTAAATGGATGTATCCATTTAAAGCTGTGCACTGATTAAAGTTAGTGGTTTAGTCCCATGACATCCTCAAAATGAATCTGCATGTCTCAGTACCATTTATAAATCAAACCCAAGTGCTAAAAACATTTTACCTTACACTCTCCCTACACCTGCTGCTCCTGGAAAATGAATCCCTTTAAAATGAAAACCAAGATAAATGTGTTCAGCTATACTCAAGGAATGCTGGATGCGTCTCAGGCGATGATGCACTGGAAGGCAGGAGGGTTGGAGCTGTGAGAAGCAACCAGAAACCTCAGGAACAGCAAAGGACTAAGTGTGAGGGAGGAGGCAGTGCTCTCTCAGCCTGGCGGGGAGATACGGTGGGACATTCTAGGAGAAATCCTTCTCTTTGACATTTTATATTACAGAATTCTAAGCCACAATCCCATATATTCCTTAGTTCTTGGTTTCTTCCTTCCTTTTAAAAAAATGATTTATTTTTATTTCATGTGCATTGATGTTTTGCCTGCATGTATGTCTGTGCGAGGGTGTCAGGTCTCCTGGAACTGGAACTACAGAGTTGTGAGCTGCCATCTGGGTGCTGGGAATTTAACCTGAGCCCTCTGGAAAAGCAGCCAGTGCTCTTAGCTGCTGAGCCATCTCTCTAGCCCCTTCTTGGTTTCTTGAGACAGGGTCTCACTATGCAGTCTTGGCTGGCCTGGAACACAATCCCATTTCCAAGAGAATAAAAGAGACACACGCTCCTGATGAATGTAAACAGTTTTTATTCAGAAACAGATAGGTACCTGCTTGCATTACAGAATATAAAACTTGGTTTACACTCTATAAAAAAGAACCAATACTCAAATTCAAGAGAGCTTAGCATTCACAGAGCACACCCTATGGACATGTAGTCACTGCTCACTGCCTCAGACTTGATTTAAACCAGAAACCCAAACCTAAACCCCAACACTATATGGGGCTCATGGAGATGAGAGCAGTTCTTGCTGCTGAGCACCCTATGTCCAGAATATGCCATTGTAGCACACTAAGCTTGCTGGTTAAGTGTGTGACTTTCACATCAGTGTTAGCCTCTGTGCACCAAACGAGCCGTAAGGCCCTTTTGCCACACAGTGTATGATGCACCCTCTCTAAGTCAGGGTTGGTGGCATTAATTATCTCTGGTCTCCTTAACAATAAAGAGTTGAAAATCTGGAAGGCAGAGAACGTTTATTACTCCTATCCTGGGGTTGAAACTTCGAGTGTATCTTCTATCAAGAGCTTGATGCAATGGCTGGGGTGAAGTTACACCACACCTGGCTCTTTACCACACCACGCAGCCTACCTCAACAGGATTGTGGAAGACCAAAGGGTAGGTCTAGGTTCAGATACGACCATCACCCAGCACCACCACCTGAATGTATTATTCAGATATAGGAAATAATAAAGATTATACATACATATATTTATCTTAGTATCCTGAGGATTAAAGATTTGGAATACATTAATTCTTAAGATGCCCATTAGTAAGAGATCAAAATATTGGGTTGCACAAAATATGGGTAAGTGGAGTTGGCAACAGACAGGGCTTTTGATAAGGATGGCAACCTGACGATCTGTGACCTTCCTACCTACCCCACCTTTTAGTGTTAGAGAGAAAGGGAGATGACAAAATGGGATTGATAGGTTAAAGACAGGAAGGATGAGCAGTGGTCCTCAAACCAAAGAGCCTCCTCTGTATGTCTGTCCTTCCATCCTTGAGTCAGAGGCCTGACAGAGAGTGGTTTGCATTCTGAGGTATGAGGATCCTGGTCAAATCAGCAGCATGAGGTTTTTAGAAACCAGCCCACAAGATAGGAACACTGCAACCAAGCTTGTAACTAATACTGCTATTCAGCTATTGTCCACAAGAGAAAAAGAAGGGGAGAACTCCTCACTGCATCATCAGGAGGTCCAATGCTTTCATGTAAGGTGCCCAAATCAGTCATCTTGTGGCTTCTTAAACAAATTCCCCATTTGGTGATTATTTTTCCTGCTAAAGGCACTTTCAATGACATGATCGCAGAAAGTCAACTGTAACTGCAGTAAACCCAACATTAGTTCCTGGGGGCTGGACGGGGCCTTGCGGTGATCTCCACAGGCACACATCACAATAAAATGCATGCCCTGCACACACTTTTTTCCTTTCGTTTTCTGGCTGTTTCCAGTTGGAAACAGCTCAACAGAGAGCTAGAAATAGCCCTGGGAAGAGATCATACACACTACTTGATTCATTTTTCAAGACACTGGCCCTAATTCTTCCCTCCACAGCTGTGCTTGACAAAATTAGCAAATAGCTAGTCCTAACGGGGGAAAAGAGTGCGTGTCAAGCTGTCTTACAGCACAGGGATCGAGCCTTGCCCAGACAATGGCAGGCTCAGTGGCTGGGCCTGTGACAACTGTACGGCCACTCGAAAATTAAGCATTTCAACAGGCAAAATAAAGCATTCTCTCTCTAAACATAAATCATGGAGTACATGCTTTTCCTTTTTTTTTTCTCTTCTGAACATTTCTATTGATCTCAGGCTTTTTAAAAAATTAGTTAAGTGAGAATTATAAAAAAAAATACGTGTCAAGGGGTTGAGAAAGAGTAAAGGGCTAATGTCTGCCTACAAGTGTGGGTTGAGGATCTTGATCCTTCATATTATACTCCCAACTAGAGAACAATACAAAAATAAACACACCACGTCATACATGATACAAAGTGTAAACCTACAGACACGAGTGCACTACTCAGTTGTTCTTCAGAAGCACGGCCCCCCAGTCCCTCGAGGGGAGGAGGAAGGGGGCAGGGTGGTTTTCATTATCTTGATATGCCTTTTCATGTCTTAAGTTTGTAATAACAGTCTCAGTAGCGCAAACAATTTCATGTGAAACCAGAGCTGTAAAAATAAATTACTTTTGAAGAAATGTAGGTTCCTCTGTCTGCAGCTTAGAACTCATCATGTCGCACCAAGGCCTCCCCAAAATCTGTGGCCTGGCTGCCCACAAATAAATCATACTTGTCGACAATCTCCTCCTTGGTAAGCTTGCCATCCTGAAATCATAGGGAACAGAGAATTGAGACCATATATACTTTCCATTCCAAATTCAGAAGATTGCTATAAAATAGAGTAACCTGAGACTGTAATACTGTAAGGTTCTAGTTCCCGCTACATGCAAACTCAGGTGTTATCCTCCATTTCTCTCTCTCTCTCTCTCTCTCTCTCTTCTTCCTCCCCCCCTCAACACCTTTTTTCATCAAGAAGGTCACTAGTCGGCTGGGGATATAGTTTAATAATAAAGTGTTTGTCTAGTATGACTGAGGCCCTGGGTTTGAACCCTATACTCAGAAAGCCAGAGAGAAGAGTTGTTCAGGGCTAGCCTGGGCTACAGAGGGAGATTCTATTTCAAAGGGCGGGGGGGAGTCAAAAGTGGAAAAAATGGGCCAAATATACTCAACAACTTCAGGACAGAGACACAAATCTGCTCCCTAGGCAGCAAACATTCTTTGTGGAGTCAACTACGGGGCAGTTGCCAGACATGGATGGAAGATGGCCAGGAACATTGGGTTGCTACTCCAGGGTGCATCAGATCGAGGTCTGGCAGGAACAGTGAACTCTCCAGGGCCAATCCTCATCTCACCTCCACTCTAACAAGATGAGCCACATCAAAACAGGCTGGGTCACTCATCTCAAACAGCACCAAGACTCCTCAGAGAAGACTGCTCACACATTCTCACAACTCGGGGCATGAGAGCTGGGCTGCTGAAGTGATGCTGAGCAAGAGCTTAAAACTGATCAGCCCTTAATAAGGTCCTGAGACACAGCACCTGAAGACTAGAGATGCTCAAACAAACAAACAAGTCTGGTCTTTAACATCCAGATCTCTGAAAAGGTGACAGGGCTTAGTGAAAATGTGATTACCGCTGGGCGGTGGTGGTGGCACACGCCTTTAATCCCAGCACTTGGGAAGCAGAGGCAGGTGGATCTCTGTGAGTTTGAGGCCAGCCTGGTCTACAGAGCTAGTTCCAGGACAGGCTCCAAAACTACAGAGAAACCCTGTCTCGGGGGGAAGGGGGGAGAAGAAAATGTGATTACCTAAGCACCTCACATAATTTTCAATTCTAACAGAGTCCAGAGAAAAGCTTAAATTTTAAGAATATATTTGATGCTGGGAATGGTGGTATACCTTTAATCTTAGAAATGGAGAGACAAGCAAGCGTGTCTCTGTGAGCTGGAGGCCAAGTTGGTCTACACTGGAGTTTCAGGCCGGTCAGCAAGGGCTATCTACTGAGAGTCAGTCAGTCAGTCAGCTGTCAGTCTGTCTGCTCTGCTTCCTCTAAAAATTCTATGTAAGTGTGTGTATTTGATTTAGAATAGCAATAACTGGCTTGGAAAAAAGGTAGAATGAGCCTGTAAAAGGTAAAAGAACACAGGAAATAACCAACATTTTAAAAAGACAATTTCCTGGCGATCCAACAGTTAGAACTGATACATGGTGTGTCAGACTTTAAACCACTACTCTTTGCTGAAGTCCAGGTTTCTCCAATACCAT